TTTTCATGGATTTCATTCCTATATTTTATTTTACTTGGTTTATCCTTTGCTTCCTCTAGTCCACTGGCCCATGAATTTTCACCATTCCTTACCAACTGCCTCCTGTCCTCACTGTTCTTAGATCCCATCATCTATTTCATAGTCAGATCCTTGACAATTCCCTCAGCAATGCATCTGCCTCTTTCTTTCCATTGTTCACCCACCTGGTGAAACCCCATACTGCTGAAACCAGCTGTTTTCTCTACAAGAGGCAACCTCTCCTCCTGCATAAGGTGCCAGCTCCGCTCCAAAGACTAACCAAGGCTCCAATCCCTGCTCAGCACCTTATAGCTGTACATGTTTAAGTGGCTTAGCCCTTCTGTAAAATGAGGCTGATAAGCTAGGTGTGATGGTGCACACCTATAGTCCCATCACTCTGGGAGGCTGAGGCAGGTGGAGCTAGTTTGAGCTCAGACTGGGTAACTTAGTGACCTAGTAAGACCCTGACTCAGAAAATAACAAGGGCTGGGGATGTAGCTCAGTGTGAATGTTTTGAGTTCAATATCCAGTAACACACACAAACACACTCATGGCCACCCATGTGTATGCTGATAACAATGCCTGATGTATATATTATGGTTATCCGTTGATACATAATGAAACTGAAATAGTACTACACACTTGCAACTTGTACTGGCCATAATAAGCACCCAATAAATGTTAGCTGAGATTGTTTTAACAACTCCTATTCTATGTATGAGACAAGAGAATTAAATTGGGAAAATATACATCCAGATAGATTACTTGCACTGTAAATGCAGAACTATAAACCTTGGACAGGTCCATGATACTGGCTGGCAGCCCTATTTCATCTCCCTAGACTGCGTTCCTACTCCCCACACACTACTTCATGCCTCCAGCTCTTCCTTCAACTTTCCCTCATCTTCAGCTCCCTTCCTTCTCCAGCATAGGAAAAACAGAGGCCATTGGCCCAGTACTGTCACCCCAAATAGGAAACATACCCACATCTGGACTCACTTTTCCCACCTTCTCTCAATGAAAGAAGGGTCCAAAGGCCAACCCTTTTCTGGGTTTCGGTCCCTTCCCTATGGTTTCCAAGGACCATCCTCCTACAGTTACCCCTCTTCTCTCTGTACCTTTGGTTCCTCTCTAAGGGGACCCTCAATGATACTGCCCGCTGGGTGCTCGGGCCCTTGTATAATCAATCCCTCATCTTAAGTGTGAGTGGAACCCAATACTCGCTGCTAACTAATAGAGTATGCCAAAGATCATGCATTCTACCCCAAATGCCACTGCATTATGGGAGATTCAATCTTGCCAGCAGACACCAAGATTCTTACCTCCTTGCTGCCTGAAGTGAGAGACCGTGCTGAGGATACTTGCATGACACAGAACTGCAGGAAGTGAGGGTGGTGGGGGCAGGAATCCTAGAAGCTGAGGGCAGCCTCCAGGTAACAGCCAATAAGAAGCGGCAACCTCAGTCCTACACATGCAGGGGAATTAATTCTCCCCATAACTTGAGTAAGCTTGAAAGTGAATTCTTCCTGGCCAGGCCTCCACCCCACGTAATCTTTGGACTGCAGCCTCGTGAGACTTGTAGCAGCACACCCAGTTAAGACCAGACTCCTAACTCACAGACACTGCAGGAACTATTATAAGACAAAAAGTGTATGGCAATTTATTACACAGCAGTAGGAAACTAATACACTTGTCAGTTGTGGTAGTGGACCCCAGCAATCCCAGCACTCAGGAGGCTGAGGCACAAGGATCATGAGTTTGAGGCCACAGCGTGGAGAGAGACAGACAGACAGACAGATGGGGGGGCATTTGCCCTCTTCCAGATAATTTCTATCATTCTCTAGTCACTACACTATAGAGTCTACTGCATCCCACCTTTAAAAACCAAGCTGCTTCATAGGCTCTTTAGAGACTTCTTTTCTCTCTGTGCTGCTTTCCCAGGAAACTTGTCAAAAGAAGTTTTCCTAAGTGCCCCTGCATCCTCACTTCACCTTCACTGCTGGCCCACTCCAGTCACATCGCAAGCTTCTTCTGCCAGGGATAACATTTTATCTCAACCAAATGAACAAGCCCCTGCCTCTTCTTTCTTATTCAGTATCTCAGCAGTATCCAACATAGTTCATTACTCCCCACTGCCTGGAGCTACTTGGCTTACTGGACTTCGTATTTTCTATTTGGATGTTGCGTCTCAACCACCTTCACTGGCTTCTTATTCGGGACCCAAACTGGAACAAGGCTCTCAGCTGTGGGCCCAATGCAAGCCCTTCACAGTGCTTGGGCTTTAACTGGCATTTGCATGCTAACTCTCAAATTCCTCTCCAGCCCTAACCTCCTCCTCATCCACATCCTACAACCACTGGCCTAACTACAGCTTCCACTTGATGTTCTAATCATCATCTCACACTTAATGTGTGAGAACACCCGACCTCCACTCTCCCGGTTTTTCAATCCCAGAAACTGGCACATGTTACCAACATTTCTGTCAGGGCCTCGTCCCGGATTCCTCCCTTTCCTTCATGCTCCTCACCTAGCCCAGCAACACATTTCCGCAGGTGGATTCTCACAATGGATCCCGAATTGGTTCGGCCCCCACCCCTAACTTCAAGCAGCTGTCACCTCTCAGGGGCCCTTAGCCTCCTGCTTGGTCTCTCTGCTTTCACTGCTGTTCCCTATTCACATAGCATCGTCTTCTGAAAAATGCAAACCACCTGGCATGCATTTACTGCAGTGCTTCAAACTTTCCACAGACTTCACACTCTACCTTAAAAGGGCTCACCTTTGCTAGGCTGCTGGCCGCAGCCTGTCTCAGACATCTCTCATCCCTGCTCAGTCCCAGCCACAGCCATCTTTCTCTCCTCAAGACTGCCATTCTCCGAGTCTGAAAAGCTCTCTCTTTAAGCAAAGTGTCTTAGATCTCAGATCAAAGGTCCCTTCCTAAGAGAGGTAGCCCCTAATAACAGCTTTCTGTTTTTTTCTCCTAGACTCTAACATATCCTTATTTCCCTCACAGCAGGCATAACAATCTTAAGTACCATGCTTGCTTATTAATTTACTTATTTATATATTTCATTGTTGCTATGATACCTCTTTCTAGATGGAAGTAACAGGAAGGTGTTCCCTACTCTGTTCTAGAATAGCAGCTGGTATACATAGTGGGTGCTCAATTTATACTTGTTGACTAAATGAACACATATGTGGGTGTTGTTTTGGGGTTGGATTGTTTTTTGTTGTTTTCTTTACACAGGGTCTCACTATGTAGCCCAGGCTGTGCTCAAACTTGCATCTATTGGTCTTCAAGCCTCTCAGGCAAGTGCTACTACACCCAACTAGGATGCTGACATCCTTATATGCATTATAATAACAATTACTTGTATTCCATTAGAAAGTCTTTTCAAATGCACATCTTTAAAGCAGTAAAAGATAAATCTATAATACCTCAATATGTCCAATATATAAATTTTTGAAACATGACCAAAGCAATGTGTTATAAATTTGAAAGAATTCAAAAGAAATTTATTCGGAAATGTGAAAAATCTTTTTTGATAATGTGAATTATCACACCCTAGTTATTCTGTTTTTAGAGTTGACTTTTCTCCTTACACTGGGTATGCTTCAATCACAGAGCATAAATTATTACTGTATTAACTTTTCTATCACAAAGTGTGCAATCACTATTCAACTCACAAGACACATTTTCACTATGTCTGGACAAAGACCACAGAGTCACTACTCTTGTTACTCAGCGTCACTGAGACCATGTGGCTTAACTCAAACCCAGCTATATCCTGTGGCCATACAATGCAGGCTTTTCAGCAGACCACGGTAATGAGTGTGGTCACAGTTTGGATTCCAACAAGCAGCTGTCAAAAACTATCATGCCCAGTGACTCTTGGCTGAAAATTTCTCACTCCCAGGAAAGAGAGTTGTGCCCTTCTCCACTCTGGGGCTATTCTAATTGCTAATGTTTAACATTTCTTTAGAAATACAATTTCAAGCTTTGAGCAGCTGACTTTAGGGTGAAGGGATGGTGAGCTCTAAAAGACTTTTTTAAATAGTCTGTTAAGCTCACCGATTGAAGATTTTTTTTCCTTCTGAAATACCAATACCTCCTGAAAACTCTTAATAGTTACTCAGCTGATTTTAAGAACCACTCTCAAGAAAAATCACTCCCTTCACTGCTCACCACTTGCTGCCCTCAAAACTTCTTAGCAACATACACGGAACACGAACCTCAACGTGGTTTGCTTTGTCCAATCACATGCCTGAAAGTCCAGCCAGTCAGCTGTGTAATAATAAACCCCTTATCTCCTGAAGATACACAAACGGAAAGATCTCTCCATGCTTCCGCGCACAAGGGACTTCGCTAGAATTCTCTGCTGAAACTCACACCCATTTTAAACGCCACCCTCCCCACCCCCTTTCCGATTTTCTTTTTCCTCATTTGCAATTTTGAAAGTGGGAAAACAAACCCACCAAAATGTTAAACGTGTCGAGTTTAAACACGGGAGGGCGAAGGGGCAATTCCAAAAGCTGCTGGCCAAATGCACGAGGAGACGGAGGGCTTGGATTTTGCCGCACTGGGTTTATGGGTTCCCTCCCGAGTGTCTGTGGTGGAAACTCATCCACGATTGTTCCCGGGTGGAGGAGAGGGTTGCAAGACTGACACAAGAAAAGCTGCTTGCTACACAGGCACTCTGGCCTCCTGACGGGAGAATAAAAAGCTCAGGCTCCCCACACCCACCTCGCCGGTCCCCACCGGGCGCAAAGCGGCTCCGGCCTCGTCCCGCGCCCCAGTCCCCCACCCGCCGGGGAGAAGCGTCCTCCTCCCGCGCGCCCCCGAGGCGACCAGGCGACCAGGCGACCGGCCGCAGGAGCCGGGACAGGCGGCCCGGGCGCGCGCAGATCCACAGTTCCCGCGCCGCTGCCTGACACACCCCTCCCGGCCGGGCTGCGGTCCCCGAGCCACTGCGCCCCGCACGCACCTTCAGCGCGCCCCGGGCCGGGCCCTTGGGGAGCGAGCGGCCGGGTCTGAGGGCCACCAGACGCTCCTCACCATCCTCCTCATCATCGTCGCCGTCCACCACCTCGACGACCACCTCCTCGTCCTCGTCGTCCTCGTCTTCATCCTCCTCCTCCGCGCCCCCTCGGGGCTTCTCCTCCACGCGCCCGAGCCCCCGGCGCCGCCGGCCCGCGCTTTCCTCGTCCTCGTCCTCCTCGCCCAGCAGCAGCAGAACGGGCGACGAGGCGGCGGCCCCCGCGGCCCGAGAGGAGCCGGAGCCCGCGCCGCGCGGCGGGGGCAGCGGCGGCCTCCAGCTCTCCGGGGCCGGGCCGGGAGCCGGGAGGGCGGGCAGTAGCGCGGCTTCCCTGGCGGGCGCGGGCCCGACCGGCTGCAGCGCGGCGCCCCCGCGGCGGCCGCCCAGGCTGGAGCGCTTGGCCAGACGCCGCGCCTGCATGCCGGACGCGGGCCGCGGCGCGGGCCGGGAGTTCGCGCCTCCTCTTCCTCCTCCTCCGCCCGGCCGCGGGCTGCAGGGGCCGCCTCCCGGGCCGCGCGCTGCCACTGGCTGCGGAGAGCGGGCGCCGCCTTCGCTGGACCGGCCCGC